TGCTTGACTACCTTGTTCGGAATTGGAATCAGAGACATGAGAGAACTTGGAATATTATCCAATACACTATTAATGAGTGTCAATCTCCCCCAATGGAAAGATATTGTCTCTGCCAAGAGGCTAACTTTGTTTCAAATTTCTCAATCACACCACTCCAAACTTCAGTTGATTTAAATTTAGCACCAAGTGGGAGTCCCAGATATGTAGTTAGTAGTGCAGCTATATCACAAGATAGGATTCCGGCTAATTCATCAAGGTTGGGGACATTGTTGACTGGATATACCTTGCTTTTCAACATATTGATATGCAAGCCTGAGATAGTCTCAAAAAGTTGTAATGTGAGATTGAGATATAATACTTGAGATCTCTCTGCCCCACAGAAAATGAGTATATCATCTGCGTATAAAAGGTGGGAGACATAGAGAGAAATCTCAGGATTCATGCTTACATGAAAACCATTGAGCCACTGTAGTTGTTTGGCTTTGTCAAGCATCTTGCTCAGACCCTCCATGGCCAAAATAAAGAGGAAAGGTGAGAGGGGATCACCCTGTCTCAAACCCTTCTGTGGAGAGAAAAAAACCACTGGTCCCTGTTAACAAGAACTGAATATTTTACTATAGTGATGCAAAACTTAACCCACTTTAGCCACCTATTCCCAAAGCCCATCTTCTTGAGAATTGCTAAGAGATAAGACCAGTTGAGCTTATCAAAGGCCTTCTCCACATCCAGTTTGCATAGAATACCAGGCTTACCACTCTTAAGTTGGCAATCCAAAACCTCATTTGCAATGAGGGCTGCATCAGTGATCTGTCTGCCCTTGATAAACGCATTTTGATGCCCAGAGACCAAACCACCTATCACTTTCTTGAGCCTTTCTGCTAGGATCTTAGCAGCTATTTTACACAAACTACCAATCAATCAGGCTGATTGGTCTATAATCTTTAAGCTCAATAGCTCCCTTCTTTTTGGGGATCAAGGCAATGAAGGAAGCATTGCAAGACCTCACCATGTGGCAGTTATGATGGAAAAATTGTAAAGCAGCCATTAGCTCATTTTTAATGATCCTCCAAGCCTTTTGAAAAAATGTCATTGTAAAACCGTCAGGTCCAGGGGCCTTATCTGGAGCACATGCCTTGATAATTGATAGTACTTCTTGCTCTTCAAATGGATTCTCTAACCAGACCCTGTCTTCCTCTGAGAGAGTGGCCAGATCATCAAATCTAGTTGTAGGTCTCCATTGTTCAGTGTATAGATTCTGATAAAAATCAAGAATTTCCCCTTTGATGTGCTCTTTGTCCTCAATGATCTAAGAATCCAGCATCAGTCTATCAATACAGTTACTTATTCTGTGAGAGTTAGCAATTCTTTGAAAGAACTTGGTGTTCTTGTCCCCTTCCTTGAGCCAGAGACATCTAGATTTCCGCGTCCAGGAAACTCCTTCTGCTCTAACAAGTTGCTCCAGTTCCAATTTCAAAGCAAGCATTTTGCTTGTTTCCTCCATTGATTGAACTCTGTTTTCAGTGAGTTGCTCAAGTTCCATTAGTTCGTCTAAAATCTTGCTCTTCCTAATCTCCACCTTGCCAAAAACTTCTTTATTCCATATGGTAATGTCCTTTTTCAGTAGCCTAAGCTTCTGTGTTAGGATAAAATCTGGGCTCCCATTTAGATCATAGCTTCCCCACCATTCTTCAATCTTCTTCATGAAACCATCTACTTGTAGCCACATATTTTCAAATTTAAAATAAGAGGGGTTCATTTTCCAGTCCCCATTTTCCAGAAGCAGTGGTTTGTGGTCTAAAATGACTCTTGGTAGTGCAACCTGTTTCACAACTTTGAAGCATTCGTTCCATTCTGGTGAGATTAAGAACCTGTCAATTCTAGATGCCTGATATAAATCCTCTCCCCTGGACCATGTGTAGTATGCCCCTTGTAATGGCAAATCGATGATGCCCAGGTCTTGGATGATTTCTGAGAAGCCCCTCATAGCTCTAGATCTTGTGACACAGTTATGTCTCTCGCTTTCATATCTACACAACTTTGAAGCATTCGTTCCATTCTGGTGAGATTAAGAACCTGTCAATTCTAGATGCCTGATATAAACCCTCTCCCCTGGACCATGTGTAGTATGCCCCTTGTAATGGCAAATCGATGATGCCCAGGTCTTGGATGATTTCTGAGAAGCCCCTCATTGCTCTAGATCTTGTGACACAGTTATGTCTCTCGTTTTCATATCTACACACATTAAAATCACCCCAACCACCCAATATTCACTCCAAATTCCCCTTATTGCAGCTAATTCATTCCACATTACTTCCATTTCCAGGTTGGTATGTGGACCATAGATCCCAGTAAAGCACCATCTGAATTCTTCGTGTGAGTTCCCCTTATTGCAGCTAATTCATTCCACATTACTTCCATTTCCAGGTTGGTATGTGGACCATAGATCCCAGTAAAGCACCATCTGAATTCTTCGTGTGAGTTCTTGAGTTCTCTAAAATACAGGAAAGAGAGTAACACCCCTGTTGAATCTCCAAACACCCCCATTGCCTTTTGTCCCACATAATTATAATGTCACCCCTATTACCGCACGACTTCAACTCTGCCCAATTACCTGTTCCCCCAAATTTGCCCAGCATTTAACCCTGAAAGAAATGTCTGTCACTATTTCTTTTCATCATATTAATAGTTCTCCTTTTTTCACCGATCCAACAAAAAATATTCTCCTTTTCTCAATGATTCCGACCTTTGTTCCCAGCCAGAGAGCTCAATGTTTTACATGTTTCTGAGCCGTGTTGCATCGGAATAGATCCATAGTTTCTCGTACTTAATTTTTATCTTACTCACAATTCTCTTTTTCTCAAATTTCCTATTGCCATTCCTAGCAATAGAGCTTAGTATCTTACATGTTTCTGAGCCATGTTGCATCACAGTAGGTCAGAAATTTTCTATCATGGTCTCCTTGCACAAAGGAGGATGGGAGAGAAATTCTCTGAGGGACATTATTTTCTCCTAACAATTAACTTTTCAAATTATACCAGGAAGTAATTGAAGCAAAAAAGATAATCCATCTAAAACTGCCACTGCTTTGTGCCATCTTTAAAATGGCTTATGCCAAAAACCATATTTTGATCTTCACCAATTAGTTATGTGCCTATCAAGCAAGCTTACAATAGAAGAGCACATGAGAAAAAGAGGAGAAAAAATATCGATATACTATTACTGATCAGACGTTGCACAAAGGTAGATCCAATAAATAAACTTCAAAAAGAAACAATTCCATACAAGTTCAACCGTTCTCTTGGGAACATTAGCTGGAGCATACTAAAACATTCATGTGATCCGGAAAGAAATTACTCACCCACCTAAATAACTTATTTTATATTACAATGTCGGTTTGACAAATTTTCTTTAAGCATTTAATTAATTTCTTAAAATGCTATGTACATGTGAAAAGTACATTAAGAATTCTCTAAAGCAAATCTTATAACTAAACAATGCTAGAAAATACAAATGTTAGAAATGTCCAAAAAGAATCCGTTAACCAATAACTGGGGCACAGGGAGTAACTTCCTATTTATTTTCATCCCCAGCTCCCACAAAGCAATGAAAAGAAACTCTACGAGAAACAGTTCAGTTTCTCGAACAAAGGATTTAGTATGCTGGTATAGCCCTTGCGCAAGGATGACGCGCACAAATCGAAAACAGCTCTCATGTTTTAACAAAAGGAAAGAAAGGTGATTATGCCACTATGACCCGACAAGTACAACAGACTGGTAATTCCTTAAACTTTGGTTAAGTGCATGCTTTAACCTTAGATATCATTTGGCAAAAAAGATTATCTTGAGCTTTTAAAATACAGTAATCTGACACTTCTGTTAGATTCTCATTTACTAAAATTCCATGGGATTAAAAAAAATAGAAACAAAAACGCTTTACTGTTTTTCCATAGAAACAAAATTACATGTATAAAATTGCTTCTTCGCTTTCACTTTATTTATCTATTTCCGCTTGTTGTCCTCTCCACACTCCAGATAAAAAGAGAAACGTCTACCATAACTTCTAATTAATCAGATTTCATATTTACTAAACTATCTAAGAATATAATAGGAAAAGAAACTCAAGTTTGCTCTTCAGAAAATATCCATATTCTTTTCATTTTCGCGAATGACTAAAACCCGTCAAAATTTCTCTATATCAGCAGTATTTAATTTAACTTACCATAATATTTAGTAGAAGGTAACGTAAGTGATAAGACACTATGTTCCGATAGTTCAAAACCATCATTGCTTCTAAAATAGTTAATAATTCTCCTGTGGATCTCTCAGTTTCAAGTGTCTGTGGCATGACAGAAGTCTCTTTCGAGAAAAAAAACCCGGAAAATGACTTATTTTCTGAATAATGTCTTCATGAATTTGGTTGGAGAGTGAAAAATAGAAAATATATTTATTAAAATTGATAATAATATTAGCAAACCTAGTAGTGTTTTAAATAAAATTTTGAGTATTAAAGATTGAGAATAATATCTACATATTGGTTAAACAATGATGTGTAGTTAAGAGTTGAGATAATTGTGAAGAAAAATAACTTCATCCAAAAGTGAGGGAAGTCACCTTCCCTTATTCCTGAAAATTGTTTTCCCTCAGAAATATTGTTGAGACACAAAAACATAAGTTGGAAAACATTTTCCTAAATATATTTTCCTTAACACCAACATACACCCAAAGACAGAGCATCTAGTCAAACTAAAAAATGACACTGAAAAACCTATTCAGATATACTTTTAGTGAAGACAAGCGAAGGAAACATTTCTGGAATATAAAAAGCCTTTCCAGAGTCCCTCTCCCTTGTCCAAAAGTTTTAAAAAAAAAATAATTGCAAAACAACGAAATATAAAACCAACAAAAGAGAGGTAGCAAAATTTTCCATCATTTTGCGTTATATATTGAAATGTTTCCAGAAGGATAATTAGATATAATTGCAAGGCCAAAGGCAGTACATACAACAGAAGTTACTCCCTTGAGTGCATCACTCCACGAATCAGTTGAAAGTAGGTTTCCTGTCCGTCGGACATAGAAGCAAAAATCATTAAATCCCTCTAGCATCAACATTTCCAAAGCTAGAAATAAAATAGACCCTTCCGTGACAAACCAAAGTAGACATGAACATAGCAAACCTTGATGCCAAGACACACTGTTAGCCCAGGATTCTTGTATTGATGACCGTCCTGTTCTACAAGGCGGGAAAAAAATCAGAGCAGAAAGATTGATATCGAGACATGACCAACTGCAGCCCAACAACGAGCAGGAAAGGACTCTAAGGAGGATCCAACAAGCACATATTTAGCACCGTTTGGAGCCAGAATAGGCTTTCCATCACGAAGGTTTATGCAACAACCTAAACACTGTGGCTCTAATATTAGGGAAAGTAAAAGGAAGCAGAAGAATAACCTACAAATAGGTGTGAAACATTGAGAGAAATTACAAATGAAAACTTAAGTGATTTCAGATATTAAGCTATTCCCTCTGTCCCACTTTGTTTGTCCCATTTACTAATTGTAGAGTCAAAGAGGTTCTTCTTTGACCATGCTTTTCTTAAATATTTTAAATCTTTTGAATTGTTAGATATTTTGACTTGTAGTACGTTTTACCTAATTTCCATATATGCAAATTTTATTTCAAAAAACTTGAAGAATGTATGGTCCAAATTCACACCGAAAATCAAGTGCTTTGACCCTCCTACTCCGAACCAAAATGGACCGGAGGAAGTATTACTTTACATGGTTAAATTCTTCTTTATTTCTTCTGGTCTTGATAGAGAAACAAAGACTCTATCAGGAAAGAGAAAGCATAGAGGACACATAAGCGCAAATGCGCAATAAGAAATTTCATCGATTTACTAGTAGGCTATGGTGCACAAGGAACATAAATTTAAGTTGGAGCCATGAATGTGTCAAAACTTAACGGTATGGGCAGTAACATCCAGAGATCTGTGAAACCATATTAGGAATATCGAAAAGAACACAAGAGTACATCACCCTCTTACTTGTCTGTGAGAAACATAATTTCTTATAAAATTTAATATGCTGTTCTGTAAAAATTGAGGCCGTTAATGAAGCTAAATGAAGCTATGTGACTATGCCATTCTTGATCATGGTGTTTCCCAACGAAAAGGTGTCAGCCACTTAACATGGTATAAGCATTCTATAACTATATCTTATAACTACATCTAAGGAAGACTCAGCCTAACCACTATAACAACCCACCACCCGCTGTAGCTAAGCAGAACCCTACATCCACTTACACTTTCTGCACTGACGATTCACCTGTTAATAATACTAAGAATCGACTACCTCATGTCCAAATATTCATCAAAACCATAAGGAGAGAGAATTTAGAAACATGATTCTCCTTCCCCTGATTTCTTCTCTCGGGCTCCCTGTTCTGCAACCTTTTCTTTACCACCTTTTCTGCTCCAACTTTAAACTTTCCTCATGCCCGTAAGTTCCTAACTCAACGCCAAATTCTGATCCATGAAGTCAAAGGGCGAGACAAAGAAGCTCAAGGATAATCTGACCAAGACATTTCAAACAAATATCTGAACAAGATACAGATGCAAGAAAGTGCTTTCTTTTTTCTTCTTCCCCTTCAACCTATCATCCATTAGCAGCCTTAAGGATGAACCTTCCTTCCCCCTTCCTTTTGTTTCTCTAAGATCTTTTACCTTCATTATTTTCATTGGAAATTTTCCTTTTGTTCCTTTTTTTCATCTTGGCCATAAAGGCTAAGTAAGTGCTTTAGTTGGGTGCAGGCGAGGAGTAACTACTGCTACCTGGAGAAATTTGGATGAGTGAGGTACCCTGCCAACAGATTCATTTTCCTTTTCTAATAATGCAATTTCTAACTCTAGCCAATCTGCGAAAGCAGATTAACGAGTATGGATCGTGTGACTGTCATGTGCCTTCTCACTTAAGAGTCAAAGCTTTAGTTCACAAAAAGGGTCGTGCAGGGTCAAAGTGCAACAGCTAAATTATCAGCTTTTGATTGTTTGCCATGTGTAGCCTCATTACTTATTTCAGATTTGAGGTGATCAATCAGAAAAACATAGATTCTAGAGGACAGCCAAGCCAAAAACTCAAAATATAAAAGACAAACAAACAGCTTAGCTACTAGACTGTCGAAGTAGACCTTTCCTTTGTCTTCTTTCCTTCATTAACTTGAATGTGGCAAACAAAGACTCATTACAGTACTTTATCCCCCACATAAAATAAAATCCAACAAAGAAGTACAGCTACATATATAAACAAGCGATTGTGTAAGTAAAACAAAATACCTGCTAAGACTAGCAACAGCAAGACCACGGTCCAGAGTTTCTTTGAGGACATGTGAGCCAACAAATCCGTTTCCACCCAGCACAAGTAGCTGAAAAGAGACGTAAAATAGTCACTTCAGAAGGCAAGAAGCTGTGGTTCAGCCAGCTTAAGCTTGAAAAGTTAAGCACCTTCTCAGTCGGAGGTGGAGGCACATTTACTGTTTCAGCTTCCTCAACTCTAAAGGGCTCATCTGTTTTATTAGACTCAGTTGACAGAAAGCGAAGATTACTGGATGACGTCACGCTCCTGTTTAAAACTTAGCAAATTAGCTCAACTATAGTATCAGCAAACACAAAAAAGGAGAAATTAGAGCTGCATTTGACAATGGAGAAAAGAAGCCAACTAACAAAATACAATCAACATGTATTTATCGCAAAAGTATTGATAAGGTAGCCCGGTGCACTAAGCTCCGGGTATACATGGAGTTCGAGGAAAGTCTAGACCATTTCCGCGGCTTGAACTCTTGACCTTATGGTCACACAGCTACAACATTTACCATTGCGCCAAGGTTAACATATATATTTGTTTTAGGAGGATTCATCAGCTACAGATATCTAAACGCCAATAATGAGTAACTCAAAAGAGATAAACCCCAAATTAGGACATGTTATTTCAATTCGAAACATATTGCACTTTTTCCCTAGTTTATACAAGTTGTGCTTTTCCCCCCTACTTTTAGAACTATGTATACAATACACTAATTAAAAAGAGATCATGCAAAGCTGAGAATTCTTTGTATGAACAAGGCCGCGTGCGTTGAACGTGATCTCTTCATTGGCCTTCTTGAGTACTCAAAGTCTGTTCTCATTTATTGATCATTTTTGGATTAAATGAAAATCACAGTTGATGCCAACATACTTTAATGTGCGCGAACATACACACACACACGAGAGCTCATCACAATGTTTCTACTTTTAACTAGGCTCAGGCAAATAAAAACCAATCCAAAATGCAGAAATTTAACATATAAAACGGCGAAAAAGTCCGAAGTGACCAGGAATATGGGTATGACTTACAAACAAATTTAGAGTTGATGTTAAATGGGAGATTAGGGGTATATAAAGAGCTTACGAGAATCTGGAGAGGGAAAGCCGAGCTTGGATCAAACGTGACATTATGTATTCACTTTCGACAGCAGTTTGCAGAGAGCGGTGTGTTTGAAGAGAAGAATCTGCCTTTCCTGCCCTTCTTGCTATAAAAAGGTTTGTTAGAGAGAAATATGTCATATGTGGCGTGGCGGGTTATCCCAATGACACGTAAGTGAAATATGTGGCTTCATGTGTGCCTGAACTTGGCAAATTAAAAATTAAATTTTGTTCGACGTCTGTTATTCTCAATTATCAATTATCTGCGTAACTCATACTAGTCTAATACTTATAAAGTTATAATTGTAACTTCGTAACCGTGCACATAATCTTACTCTCAAATGTTTAATGACATATTCAATGACATATTTTACAATAGTGATTCTTCACTTTTCATGCATATATATATACCTTGTAATAAATAGGAAAAGACACACAATTAAAAAGAAATAAGAATATTTCTTCTCTTTCTCTCTATATCTTTTAGTTTATTTTTTCTTTTTTTGTATTATTATTTTGAGCTATATTTCATAATAACAATAACAAAGTTATTGGTTGCAACCTTTTTTTGATCGATGGCGTCAACAATGATATACGAGGTGATACAATATGAATCAACTTTGTTTAAGCAACTAATGTTTTTATAGTTTAATCATATTATATGAGGGGATTCATTGGTGACTAATGCATACTCAGGATTAAACACTAAACCTGTAAGTTCACCTTTTTACCACACTACGATAATAATCAGCCAAGTTTATCACGGGGGAAGAATGTGTATTTCTACTATAACTATCTTTCATCTGGTCTCGAATTGGTTTGATCTTTTAGTAGAATCAACTCCTCTAAATACTTAAAAATTTTGGTTCTTGGATAATAAAGTATGATCCTTCTCTTAATTTCGTGTAGTTTTTTTTTCGAATTAAAAAAACAAGAATGATATTCCCTTCGTTTCAAATTAGATGAAGTACTTTACTGACATATTTCTAAATTTAAAAATAATTTAACTTTAACCTCTTTATTTTACCTATTTTACCCTTAATGAGAAGCTTTTATAACCACACAAATGTCATAACCGAAGCTTTTACCCCTTAAACTTTTAAGACCACAAGTTTTAAATGTATTTATTTTTTCTTAAACTCCATGCCGAATCAAACTACATCATCTAAATTGTAACAGAGTAATAAGTATTCAGACAAAGACGACAAATAAATTATATCTCGGATAATGGTTGCTAAAAGCATGTTACTCTAATTAACACTAATGTGAAACCAGGATAGTCCCAGGACCTAGTCGATAGTCTCCCTAAATGAAGCCTAACATTAATTTGCACCATGTACCGTCTAATTCCAAAATTTCTTCAAATTGAAAGTTGTAATACTCGTAAATCGAATTTAAAATGACTTTGTTCTCGATTGGCACAGATAACTTCAGAGTCCATTGGATAGGATGAAAAAGAAGAATAACGTGCACAGATAGTTCTTAAAACTTTAAAACGCATCATCTTTCTTATAGTCGCTCTGGTTTCTTTCCTGTTCTTTCAAACCAATTACCACATTTGACGACTGAGTCGAGTCTAAGAGAAGCGCGCAATTGAAGTCACATTTATTTTCCACCTTTTCCTCAAGAATGTCACAAGGTCAATATTAGCTTCTTTTACTCACTAATTTCCTCATTCCAAATAGCGCGAAGAGGACTAGCGAAATAAAAAGAAACTCCCTCGCTCTCCAATGGTCAATAGTTAGTAGGCTCAGCTGCTTTCGATCATCCATTTACGAAGAAAAGCTGACTAGTACATTTCTGGCTTTAGAGCAAAGTCCAACATTGGTTCACCCTCGAACTTTCAGGTTGTTTCACCTTTCTAACATAAAAGTCTGCCAGGGGCTTTTCATTTGGACAGAAATACACAACTTCAAACTCCTTCACCATATCTGTGAGGAAAACACAGAAAACTGAATATTAGTAACACAGGGATGGAAGGAAGAATATGGATCCAATAAGAGAATTAATCAGCCTACCGTTTCAAATAACCATTGGAATACGTCTAATTACCACTCACCCAAAATAACTTGCATATGAAAGGAGACAACGCAAAGAATGCAGCATGCGCATTGAAGTGACTCATTACTTTCATCCATTCCAACACCTAATGCCCTAATCTTTGGTGAGTGAACTGACTTGCGGCATTTAACTAGCATGTCACCAAACATGATAGCTGCTTTCTGAATTTATACACCAGTAACGCGCCAATAAAGTTTCAGCTTATTAGACAAAGGCTTTTCCTCATCGTTAATACCTGCACAGTTGTGAAGATAAATACCTTAATGTTTCTAGATGATTTAAATAGCAAATACTGAGTTGGAAAAAACAAAATCATATTAAGATCAGAAGATCAAGGTCGCCAACATGCAACAACGGTACTTCAAAAGAAGGGAAAACTTGTCTATAAATTATGGAGAGGGATCAGTTATCAATGTCAAGTGAATTTGTAAAGAGAAAGGTGGATTTTGAAAAGTTTGATCAGATAATCCTGTGTAGTATTGGGATTAAATACTTTTACAGGAGAAATTTCACAATCAAGGGCGGCGAAATCTGTGCAAATTGGGTAAATGAGTTGAAGTGGCTGGAATGCTCGATCAGTTATGAAGGGGGGCAGCGAGTCGGGAAAAAATGTGAAGGGAGGGTATTTTAATGAAGTGGCAGCCTGCAGTATTTTGCATTCATAAGTCAAATGTAGTCTTAATGACATGCCTCAATCCAAGAGAATGGCCAGAGACACTTAGCACTAAAAGAATGTATTGTAGTTTGTATGAGGGTGGTTATCCGAACGACACAATTTGTGTAATGTAGTTCTGAATGCTGCAATGAAGATTTAGAACATTTTTAAGGGACGCATATTAGACAGTAAATCTAATCCTACATCTGCAGAATGAGTTGAAAAAAGCAAGAAATCAATAGCTGAGAGCCTGAGACTGGTTATTGTTTCAATCTTGTAAGATTCATATCAGCACGAAAGAATTTGTTAGGAGAAACAATGATCATAATGGAGCTTTCAGAATTTATCATAGACATAAAAACATTACGAAAAGGAAGACGAGTCCGAGATCCTGCCCCCTGAGTGGGGCTGAACCTGACCACAGCTGGATAAGCAGACATAATTGCAGTAGAGTATTTGTTATCCAAAATTTATAATTTTGGAAATATTTTACTAAGTTTTTTGAATCTAGATACTTTTTTCAAGATGTAAGGGTTTTTAAACTAATATGAAAGTAGAATAAATATCATTCCTACCAATCTTCCTCTAATCCTATCGCAAGATCATGCACCCACGTATCCTCTAGTGCAGACATTCTCATGTTTCACCATCCCCCATAGGACAATCCAGACTAAAGCCTCATTGATGGCTTGAAGATCGGGATTTTGTTCGAGTCGTTCATTACTCTATCCAATTTTGAACTTCCCATTCTTTTTTGTGCAAGAATTTGGGATTCCAAACTATTTAGTTTTTTTAAACCCTTCTTAGTGACCTTCCTCACTCCTGATTGCCAAAAGAGAATATGTCATCATGCCCTTTCTTCAAGTGTGGTCGTATTGGGCGTCTCCCCTTCCCTTTGTTCCTATGTCCTTACCCTCTTCTCTAGTTCATATTGTATGACACCAAGAAGCTAGTTGCTTGACGTTTCACCCTTCTCCGACAACTTTTGGCCCGAGAAGAAACCCTCGGGAACTCAGCAATTGTGAGTGGGTCTGGGAGTCTTCCTCTGGTCATTTTTCATGTATGTGTAAACTCTTTAACGAGCACAGGTTTTAAGTGATCCAAGCCTTAACAATAGGTTTCTAGAATCGGGGTAAAAGAATTAAAAATCCCTGACAATCATCGATCTAACCAAAGGGCAGATCCATCCTTCTCTAATTTTTTTAAGTCCTCCTACTTATGACTACTTTAAACTCATCGTATTCAGAACTATATCTTACCAATGAATACTCCATTTATTCCGACGCTACAATTTTCTTCAGCTAGATCTTGTTCCTCCACCTCTGATTCTCTCTCCTCCGATTCTCTCTCCTCCTTTCCTCCCTTTCAAGTTTCAACAGCATTAACCGGTTCAACAGCATAAGCCAAATTCTGTAACTCAATAAAAGTCATCCATAATCATTGAGGTATTCATTCCTCCATTTTTTAACAATGATTCTGAGCCTAGAAATGATTGTTGTTGCAATCGAAATCAACAGAACCTCCATGAGTTCTTCTACTTGTCTGATTAACTTGTGAGTTGTGAAACCATAGGTGAATCGACATACCAGTTCCCCCTTGCTCCTCCTTTGCCCAACACATCCTGCTTTAACTGTCCGTCTTTCAAGCAAAAGGTATGTCTCCCATAAACCTCTTTTCTCTTGCAAAACCCTAGAAGCCTATGTCTCAGAAGGGAATTCGGAAGAGAATTGGAACAAGAATACCGAGCCACTGAACGAGGATATCTTCAGCAGCCCATACCATCTACCAAGAGCCAACTGCCCATATGCTACGTCTATCGAACTGATGCGCCAATCAAATTTATGAATAGGTTTTGAGGAAATTCTTATTCCCCTTTATTTCGTCTAGAAACAAACTGAACCTTTGTCCTCAATCTATTTTAACCTCCAAAACTCCACCACTCCTGACCAAAGTTGGCCAATCCGACACATCCCTGTACATCTAATAGTGAATCAATGAACAGATTTTATTGAACGAGCAATTCTTGAAGATACTATTGGTTGCTACCATGAAAATCTTAATCCTCCATCCATAACTTGTCATTTGTCAGCTTTTCATTCAAGAGGTGAACCTTAGTACAGAAGGTCCAGGATAACATACAAAATTCAATCTACCGATCAACTATGGCTCAATCCATACTAGGTAATGTCGTATTAATCCTCTATATTATTGTGCTCTATTCGTACCCATTTCTGTCCAGTGTTAATAATTTATCAAGACAAATGAGGAGTTCTCAAGATATCACACATATCCTTACATAGTTACATCAACATACAAGTCCGTAATTAGACTAGAAAGACTAGGCAACACTGCACCTAAAGAAAGTG